GTATGCTGATTCAAATGATTTTTTACATCAGTATTATGATAACAAAAAAATTAACTATGAATAGAATTTAAAATATTGTGTTGATTATTCTTTGTCATAGGTTTATCACCCCTGTATAAATATCACTGCTTAACATTCTCACATCAGTGGTTTTCATTAAGGTGTGAGAGATTTTACAGCCAATTTAAATAGTTTGAATGTCTGAATCTATTTATTAATATGCAGAACACAGCATTTGATTTCACAAAGTATTTTTAACAAGACCTCCATTTATATATAGCTCGATCTTCATTCTAGCACTAGACAACCATGTTCAGGTTGTCTAAATATCGCGATATATAGTGACAATGGTTTCATAGAATACTTTTAGCAAGAACCCTGCTCAATTGTATCTGTGCATTCTAGCTATAGATGATTTTTAGATCGTTGCTCTACTGGTACTTTGTATCTATAAGTGATATATATATATCGTCTAAAACCCAAATCCAAATATATCTGTGTTAATCAAGTTTAGTTAGCTTCGCAGTCATAGACAATACATGTATACATTGTTTAGATACCTCATTACTAAAAAAAACACAATTTCGCAACTAACTCATTGTTTAAACCATCAATGCTGTTTAGTTGTGATGGTTGTTTTATAGTTAATCCATGTTCTGGGTTTTTTCTAGAAAAAAACTGCAAGAGGGAGCAGTGCAATTTAGCGGCGCCATCAAGTGGGGGGGGGTGATAGGGTTCGGCCTACCAGGGTGTGGAGTTTTTGATAATTAGTTAATAATAAGTTAATAAGGAGCATTCTATGGCTTCCTTAGGGCCACAATTACTATCAGACAGGTCACAGTTGAAGACTGGCCGCATGTGATCCATGGTCAATCAGAATTTCATGGTTACTAGAAGATCTGCTCCCCAGGGTAAGGAGATGCATGGCCACGGCATAAGGGCATTGTGCCCCTGTCCCCTTGTTTAAAAAAATCCCTGCATGTTTGTGCAAAGATAGTTTGAAAACCTGATCTTTTGGATCCAGGCTGCATAACAAAAATGACAAAAGTATTTTAAAACATTTTGAGCTAATGAAATGCGTCCAGGCACTCTTCACACATGAACTCTTAACCTATTGATGAACTTACTCTGCCCTCTTGTGCATGTATGCTGTTCAAGAACATTTGCATGAGGATAGTACTGTAAAATACTTTATTTACGCTTGGAATTAATTTTCGCTGAAGGAATAATTCAGTGAAAATAAAATCCAGGAAATATACTTTTTTTTTTTTTATATTTTACATTCAACTCGTCAAAAATAAGTGAAAATAAATTCCATACAAAACACCCAAAAAATATTTTCAGCGAAAACTAATTCCATCTAACAAAGTATTTCACAGTATTTAGATGATTTAGATCAAAGGTAAAGGTCATTTAAAAAGTCATCTTATCAAGTGTCAGGCTTGTCACATGATTTTCTATGTGCTCTGATATTTTTTTTTTCAAAAGGTCATTGCAAGTTCATTCAGCTTATTAATCATTTTGCTTATTATCATTTTGGAGGGACTGTTATTTAAACAGAATTTTCATTTTTGTTTTTATTAAAAATGGTTGTTTCTGGTATTAAAGATGCCTTAAAATTGGAATAACTAAATTTCTACAGTTGTCATGCAGCACCTGTATGCACATGTAGAATGCATCACTATGGGGTACTACATTAAACACAATACAGAGCACATGACTGGAGTGCTTAAAATCCAAACTTGAAAATGTCAGTATGTCAGCCTTGATCTGTCATGGAACAATGGACATGGGCTGTGTTTGTATTGCTCACCAGACCATGTTATGCTTTCATCAGTTTGTCAATATTGTTTTACACCCTCATTCAACCTAAAACATTTGGGCTGATCCATATTAGCACAAGAAGAGGGATGGAGGCGTGTAAGAATTGGTTGGTTCACATCTCGGTTTAAATTTGTAACTAACTAAATAAATAAATAAATAAATTTTACATGTTCACATAAATTTAATTTAGCAAATTTTACTTATCAGCAAAAATAGCAGAATTAACAAATAATTAATGTTTACAATAGTTTGTACAATGTTCACCAAATAATAAAATCAGTGTCAACTTCTTTTGAATGCCATAATCACCTTCAGTCTCCATTTCACAAAATAAACTCAAATAATTCCATATTTTTCTGAAAAATTTGATTAATACCTGTAAGCAAATGACCACTAATACCTATTTGATCAAAAAATTTAAAATAAATTCTAGAAAATAACATACAATTATGCAATATGTTGCATGAGTGGCAGCCATTTTGTTTTAAAAAGTATGCCTGTACATGCCTGTACTGATAAAGTTTAAACTTCATATCTGACAAACATACTTGCATTTTTGTCACATTCAATTTCAAAATGACTGAATGGCAGTCAACTTGCTTGAACAAATGCAGTTCCACAGAGCCATATCTTATACATGCCTGGATCAATCAAGTTTAAACTTCACAAATACATCACACATCAGGTCATATATATACATCTTGTGTCTATAATATAAACAGGGACTAGTTTTGTCACATTCTACTAGTCATCTTGTTTAAATAAATGTACTGGGTAGTTAGCCTTATCTCGTACATGCCTGGACTATTCAAGTAAAACTACTTCAGAGAAATCTTACTAGGGTTTTCATGCTGCATGAGTATACTTCATTGCTATATGGTTTTTACCAAATGTACAACTGGTTCGATTCAAGTCATGGTCTCGAGGTGCATGCGTATGACTTGAGTGTGGTTAATCCTGCGATAGTACACTGAATTGCCATAGTGTTTTTATAACCTGAAGAGATGGTCACATACCCCTGCCACATCCTCCAAAAAAAGGATTTATGGTGTTCTAGGCCATAAGACATGTCTTTTTTGCGAGCATGTCTTTTTCGCAAATTTAGCAAGAGAACTTGTTCGCTAATTCAATATGTCGCTAATGACTTTATTAAAAATTCAAACAAAGAATTCAACAATGAGAGAGTTTCGCTAAATCAACATTACGCTATTACGTCATTTTACCACAATTCGCTAAAATTACATGCCGCATTTTCAACATGTTTTACAGTATTGCACAAAATACTCTTGCAATTTGCACACGGGGGGGGGGGGGGGGGGGATTGTGCACACAAATATTTATAACAAAAAAAAATGTCAATCGTTGTGTATTGCTATTGTTCCAGGCGTTGGAGCATTTTTCATTCGTCGCAAACCTCGTGTTCGAGTTGAGGCTTTACAGAGTGGCGGTGGACAGGAACGTGGTATGCGTAGCGGCACATTACCTGCACCTTTAGTTGTTGGACTAGGAGCTGCTTGCGACGTGGCTGCACAAGAGATGGAGGTTTGTAATTTATTAACTGCACTGCACTGCACTACACTGCACTGCACTACACTACACTACACTGCACTGCACTGTGTTGCACTCTTGAAACTATGCTAGGTATTTCAACTGTCAAAAAAACATAATCCTATTTGGTGTTTGTGTATCCCGTTTATTTGCTGTTTGTGTAGTATTCAACTGGATATCCTAATATGTGCGTTGAAAATACTTCATAATGAATATTATAAAATAACGTCAGAAAACTAAAATTGGTTTTACAGCAATGATTCTGTAAATTAGTATGTTATTTATATGCAGATGCAGGGACTCGATAATATATTTATTTTTAGTCCCCGTTCGGACGCAGTCTGAAAACGGGGACTTATGTTTTGCCCTGTGTGCGTCCGTCCGTCCGTGCGTCCGTGATCACCTGTATCTCGAACATGCATGGACCGATTAAGTTCAAACTTCACTCATACATCACACATTATATGGGACATATGCACATGCATTTTTTTCATATCCGATTAACGATAGCCGAATAGCGGCCATTTTAAGGCCGAAAATGCATTGAAATCGCACATTTTCACCATTCCGGACCCGGATCTCAGTTATGCATGGACGGATTTCATTCAAATTTGGTACATACATTAAACATAATAGGACCTTGATGCACATCATTTTTTTTTTCGGATCAAGTTCGAAATAGCCGACTGGCGGCCATTTTGTTTTAAAGAATTCA